TATATATATATACTATATAGTAATAACATTAATACTACCTACCCTACTAGACGTAGTAGTTATTAGTATATATATATATATATATATATATATATATATTACCACAATACGAAATCTAAGTTTTCGTTTACAGTGAATAATCCGAAACCTGGAGAAGAAATATGAATTTTACATATATGAACAAAATTATCAAAGAATATTAAGTTATATACCACCATTGTTTAGACTGCAAATGAAATTTTTTTCACAGCTACCGTTACTCACATAAATTAACTTTTAAAATTATTAGAATGATAAAACATACTTGGAAAAGCCAGGCTCGACTTCTGAATAGTTATATATTTATTCTTAAAGTATTTTTAATAATGTACTCATTGACACATGTAGACATTTAAAACTAATCACCGTGTTCACTGAATGCTCGTAGAAAGTTGACAAATATCAGTGAAGAGGTTCGGTGGCATTTATACCCTTGTTTCTTCTGTATATCGCAATAGTGTAGTATTTTAAACAAATATTAGCTCTGGTATACTGCAGTGAAAGTGTGTATGTAACCTGAAACATACGTGACCTTTAATATTTTAAAAAGAAATAGTTATTTTTACTTTATAAAATGTATCAATATAACAAGTATTTCTAAGAAAGAAGAGACAATGTGATAAAACTATCAAACATCCTGAAACATATAAGGTATTTAGAATAATTTATTGAGGCTAAAATGTGCTGCCACATCTCATGTGAGTACGTACATGTTTTGAAAAGGCTAAACAAGCTTGAAGTAGAATTATACTAACAGTAAAACTTATAGGTTTAAGGTATAATATTGCAATGCGAAAATCCAATTACACGGATAAAACATTTAAGTAGTGAATATTAACATTTTAATGTTTACGACGTTATTTTAACTATAATTTTATGTCCAAATACTTATCCTGTAATAATGTTAAACTTTTGGGAAATTCGTTACATCTATAAGCCAGAATTTGCATCTGGAAATACGTAAAATTTATATTCCACATTACATATACAAATAGAAATTTATTCAAACCTATTTATATTAAACTAAATAAATATAACAGACTAACCACATTTTTGCTATTTCTAAAGCAGTTACATGAGTGCATATATGTCATTGAATTACTTCATGTGTATATATTTAACGTACAGTTTTTCCGGACAAGATTAGATCTATATCAGGTAATGTGTCTCAAAAAGACACATTTCACGTATTCTTAACAAAAACTTTTTTGTCATCTCAATTTTTGGGACATATTATATTCTATTAAAATACTTGTACAATTTCAGTTTCAATACATTTTTGTGATCTTTGCAGCCTGACGTTGTCTTCTAAGAAGAAATTAGTCAGTGACATATTAACATATTTTTATGTTTTTTACGTGATACCAAACCTCAGAATTTCCTTGAGGGCACAATATGGTCAGGAGACAACTCAGTTTCAAGTAACCTTTGGAAATGTTAAAATTTGACGAGCTTTCAACAATACACCTTTTTTGTGTGTAATTTTCTCTTTTAAATATTATTTTAGTCAAATTTCAAATCAATTTGGTTGCCGAACTCCCTAGTATGTAGAAAAATTGTATTGTCGTTTTTAATCTCTTTTATTTTATTAGCGATTTTTCAAGCTTCACACGCGTAAACTTTTTCACACGATTGTAAAATTACAGTGTAAAAACCTTGTTATTTATTTATCCACCACTGATGTTAGAGTACTTATAAATGACTTTAAAATGATAATTATTCTATCGAAAGATTTAATATATGTTTTATAATGTAATCGATGCATTGTAGCTTCTTATTTAATAACAAGTTTACATAATTGTCTTTGATAAGGTTTTCTTTGCTTCAAGATCGTAATTTTTAATTAATCGTATTATCATTGTTTAAAAATAAAAATAAAAAATAGTTTTTTTACCTTCTTTATCTAGTTGTGCGGGGTGGCATATTCGTTAGGCTCTTAGGAACAAAAACTCAATAAATGTTTTCACAGTTTTATGGTGTCGTGAAAAACGTGTACGTACATAACATAGAGGGTTACCGATTTCCGGTAGATAGAGAGGACAAGCTCGTTATCTGTTCTTGTTTTCTATAAAAATGTCTTCAAATTGGAGTTAATTGTTGTTGTTTTTTCTATTGAACTTGTAACTTTAACTTGTGAAGCTGGTTTATGTTGCTGAAAAAGGATTGATAGTCATTTGTTTAGCAAATGAGAAAATATGTGACATATATATATGAAAATCAAGAAATCTTAGGAATGTTAATGTTTGATGAATGGTGTTGCTCATATTGAAAACACATTAAAAACATTATTACACACTACTGAACATAGTTGACCCCATAGCCATACCATATATTTGTCTAAAATATTGTCCCAAACAAGCGTGTCAGTTTTTGTATGTATGCGTGATTCTTTACAGTAGGAGTCGCCTGTTGGCGTTAAATTTCAACAATAAACACACAGCACACAGTTCTACTTGTTTTAAAGTAATATATCAAAACAAAGTCAAACATATATACAAATGTTCGACTCACAGTTGTATCCAGAGCTTTAAGTAATCGTCTTTTTTTCGTCAAAATTCCACATATGTTGGTTCAGTTACTTTATAACACAATTGACAAGATGAAATATTCTTCTCTACTCTGTTGTTACAATACAATATGCGATACTTTCACCTTTAAAAAAGCGCAACTATACGCTCTTTACGGCTAAATTCACAATCACACAGTCTAGATCTACCTATCTTTATCTAACTATTTTACTAGAATTACATCTTGAACATGGAATAATAGCCTAACAGAGGCCTAGAACTTTCCACACACTATGAGAAGTTATGATACAATAATACTCAGCTAACACAACAAGAAAACTTCAGAAGGTTCGAGTAACATGACACCAAATCGCAACAATAGAACTAACTACACAATGAATGGAATAATATACCTAACAGAGGCCTAGAAATTTCCACACACTATGAGAAGTTATGATACAATAATACTCAGCTAACACAACAAGTAAAATTCAGAAGGTTCGAGTAACATGACACCAAATCGCAACAATAGAACTAACTACACAATGAGTAAAACTTGTCATAACTGTCGTTTTTAAAAATAACTTTAATACTCGCGCTATATAAATTATCTAAATCATAAGTTCACATTAAACTTAAAATGAAACAGTCATGTATATCTAACAAAACGAAACATTTTTTATACACAAATCTCAATAATAGGAATTAAAGTATTAACTGCAACAACGTGCCTTCACTTATGTAAGGAATCTTTATTTGATCGACAAAGTATACATTGTTTTGAATTTGTGATGATATAGTTTTTCCAAAAAGGGTGACAAATATTGTGCTACCCGTGTAGCTAAAGAATGCATAATTGAACTCATGTGAGAATGATAGGCCTTAGGGACAGTTAGCTTTATGTACAAATATTAACAATTGGCGGTTGTTTCGGTATAAGAACTTCCAAGGTGAAAACTCAGAAGATTACGGGGGTGCTCAGAAGCTTTAACTTATCTTCACCCCGCTCCTGATGGAGATAAGAGGCTGTATGTGGTTTTGAGTAAATGGTTTATCTATGGTAGGGAGTAATTAGTACGTTTCAAATCGAAAAAGGGGTAGTCGCACTTGTGGTCAGCAGGGTATCCTGGACACGATCCTCTGGGAAAAGCTTGAAATATAACCCGTAAAATGACACTCACCACCAGTATGTGCCAGTGATGTAAGAGAGACAAAAATGAAAAATAATGGTCATTTCTCTTTTTGAAATTCTGTAGTTTCAGAGATTAAAAGTGGTAGGCGATAGAAAAGTCGTAAAATCGATAACCAGTATGGTTGGCAACTAACAATGCGTTTGGAGATTTTTAAAAGATTTGGCCAATAATCTAGGACATTACGAAGGAATTTACTAAAACTGGATACTTTCTTAAGAAAAGATTGGATTTTAGTTGTTGTTTTTTGTATAAATATTCTGCTCTAGTAATGGATCTGTTTTTGTTTTCTTATAGGTGATTTTGTCCAAAATAACAATATGATTCGATTTACCTTATATAGGATTTATAACATTCAAGTTTATTTTTAATTTTCTTAATGCTTCAGTAAGGCAATGGGGGATGGATGGAACACTTATTTAATTACATCATGTGCTGCTTATGCGTCCTGTTAAGAAGTTTAAAGAGTGCTCGGATTTTGACTTAGAGGATTTATGGTTCATTACCTGTTGCCGCTAAAACTTCTGTAGATTGTAAGATGTAGAAAATAACTCATTAATTATTGATTTTATCTTCTTCTTAATTTTTAAGACTTAATGTTTAAGGTGTCCAAATGGCAGTTCATGATTCTTACTGAGTAGTAATAATTTTTTTGGATGGATGATCTTATTCTTCAAACAGTTGAATAATAATTGTTGTTATAGTTTTCTCTGTTTTCAGTAGAGTAGCTTCATGTAATTTCTGATAATTTCTGTAAATGACCTTAATCTCATGACGATGTTTGAAAAGTGTGAATATTATCATAGTAGTAAATAAAAAATATCAAAGGAATATTAGAGCAAGCTTTGTATCAAC